ATCTCGTCGGTTGTAGCAAACAAAATACTCACTGTACATGGTCGCAGCGCACGCCACCGTAGCCTGTAGTGTGTCGCCGTTCACCATTTGTAGCTCCCTCGGACACTGGTTGCAGCTCGCCCTTCCGGTCGCCAGGGGAAGAGGATGTAGCTTCACTGTCCATGGACGCTGCTCCCTCTGGACATCGGTTCAGCTCTGCCTCTCGTTGCAGCATTATCCGCCTCTGTCGATGACCCCGCCGCCTCGCCGTTACAGCACCATGGTGGCGTCCAACACCACCACTAGGAAGTTGCAGCCCCGCCGCCCAGCACTGCAGCACTGCCACCCAACGCACCCCAACATCGCCACCAGGAACTCACAACACGGCCGCATGGGCTTGTGTCTTACCTCGCTCGAATTGGATCCGGCGGCCTAGACTGCAGTCGCCGGCACTGGGATCTAGAGAGAGAGAGAGGGGGGGGGGGACGAATGGGCACATAATCGCATTGGGAAGGGACTGGCCGATTTGAATTGTTTCTCTATAAACTAATGACACTTGCAAGTTGCAACAAATACACCCCGACTACCGTCTGGCTAAGATCCATGATCAACTTTTATATTGATTGTAGCCTCTGTAGATTCACTATGGTAGACAAATGATCACTCTATTTTGCTAAGACTACTAGCACCAACTCTCTTAATCAAACACAAACAATCTAGTTCATGTCCTTTGTACCTTATAGCTAAAAACATAGACCTTCATCTACAAATTCATTTGTGCCTTTCGTTTTTAGCCCAACCTAAGCACACAGAATCTGACACCATGAGTTGGACCAGCTAGCATTAAATATGAATTCTGCATGCAACAACTTATTAAAGCAAATGGAAATGCAAAAAAAAATCCAATTATAAATACTGTGGCTACTTATAATACATGTACGTGTGTAATATACCGAGTTGATTTGGACCAGCTAGTTTTCATGTTAATATTTGGACCAGCTAGAGATGTAAATATGGATTGGGCATGCATGAATTTATTAAAGTAAGTATAAACATGAAAATTGCCATTTAGAAAGAGTGTAGCTACTTACCATTCGCGTGTAATATAACGACTTGTGTCTCTTGCGTGCGGATGAATTAACATCAATTGCGTCTGTGGCTTACATTTGCATTAGGCTTGTGGCTGACTTTTGTCTTGGCATCTGTAGAACAGAAGAGAGGACGTGCGTCTCATGAACCTTTCCTAGAAGGAAGCTCTTTACTGATAGGCTAGGCTAGGCTTTGATTCGTGGTTTATTTCAATACTGGTTATTCAGGCATCAGTGTAGACTGAGAAAGACAATGGCGGTGGTACGCCAAGACTATTCATCGGGAAAGGGAAGGGAATTAATAACTTTTCTTCAGAAAAGGCGGTTCGGAGCCCTGGCTTAGCTGCTCATGCCAATAAACAGTAAAATCAGAAAATATAGGAAAAACATCAAAAATAGTTGAATTTTTTTGGCATGTAAGATGCTCAGATGTGCTTTCAAATTTTCGTGGTATTTGGACAGTCATGGAGGTCGATCGTGGACAGAAAACAAAATTTGACTGTCAAGGAAACTTTGAAAATGTGCATTGTTTAGACCCGGTTTTATTTTTTATTTGCTAGAGCACGTCTGATGTTCAAACACGACAAAAACTTGCACGCACCTTGCGTACCCGTGAATCTTGGATGCCAGAAAATTCAGATTTTATAATATTTTTTGGCTATTATTTTTTAATTGACTGTTTAGAGGACCATATAAGATTGGGCTTGGATCCAGATTTTCACTTTTCTTAGCAATACACTAGGAAAGCGGTGGTGGGTGCAAACTGTTAAAACTTAACCATCGAGAATCGAGTGTTCAAGATTGTCTGCATCTAGGGTTGTACTATAGTAAGTCCTATGTCTAGGGTTATATTGTTCGTGGCACCCGGGTCTGTCGTGAATACTAGTCTAGAAAATAAATGTATAAATACAACTGTTAAGGTGATTGGCGATTTTACGAACCGTCCATCCAGACTAATCTAACGGTAGGAAAATAGGAGTTATGAGGAGTTATAAAACTAAAATTACAGGAAATTACATATAACGTGGGATCAATACATAATTTTAGTGGGACCAATTAGAAGGATAGATCCGTCATTTTTTTATTTCCGCTTGCAATATGTCCATTCGTCTCAACCCCCGATCCAGACTCATCCCCAATCCACTCATCTCCTCTCACCACGGCGTTCGCCGCTTGCCACACCGTGGACTGCCGGTTTCTCCCCGCCAAGTGCCCCACCACGCCGGCCGCCGGTCTCCACGCCGTCGACTGTCGCAGTTCTTCGTCGCCGGATGTGCCCCGCAAAGAGCCCCGCCCCGCGCGAGCCCTTCGCCGCCGGATGTGCGTCGCCAAGTGCTCCGCCCCACGCCAGCCCTTCGTCGCCGGATCCCCGTCCAGCGCGGCCAGCCCCCCGTCGCTGGATCTGCACCGTCAAGAGCCCCTTCTGCACGGCACCGCAGCCGGATCCCGGCCCCGCGACAGTCCTCCCCCGCCGGTTGTGGCCCCGCCTGGAATACTCCCACCCAGCAAACCTCCCGTAGCGCCGAGCCGTCTTGCTCATCGGTGCAGCGTCCATCGCCCAAGTGTCGGCTCTTCAGGTCAGCGCACCCCCCCCCCATTGCTAGTTTCCATCGTGGTTTGACACGGGGAGTTCATGACATTTTGTTTATTTGCTTCTGTGGATTAGGTAAACACGATTAGGACCAGTGGATGAGTGAGCTAACTTGGAACTCGCCGGATTAAATTCATTTATACCGATTTTGTTTACATTTTCTCTGCAAAGTCAGTATGGATTCAGAACCTACGTGCTGTGAAAAACAATTACAATAGGAGATTCATGCCATGTTCTTCTGATTATGCACTGGACTATAGCCATTTTCCCACAGCGGCTCATCCACTATTGGATAACCACCATGTAGCTTGTTCACTTTAGATGACCCTCTTGCTGATTTCAATAGTTCTCTATGCTGAAGCTTCAAAATGGGACTAATCTGTATTGGTGAATGTAAGATTCAGAGAAAGTGAATATCAAGTTGTTGGTGACTGCAAAAATTTGAAAGAAACGACTCTGATTTCTTCTAGTGAATGACATTGTTGAGGTTGATGTTGGTTTGTAATCTGATTAGTTCCTGTGTGATTCATGCTGCAGTTTGGTTTACAAGTCTCATGCTACTGACAAACTTTTACACTTCATACATGCTACTTAACTGTAGTAACAGACCAAACAACTGATGAACTTGTGAACTCAGTGTTTACACAAGGGAATAAACAACTCACAAGATGGCTGAGTTTCTTATACATGCATTTCTCGTAGGTGATAGGTGCTGATCGTAAAAAGATAGATGTTGTCAAGAACTCCAATGGCATTGGCATAGCCAAGCTGATCAAGAACTCGGCAGAGAACTGCGGGATCAAGGGCTCCGACAAAAGGCGATGTTGTCGACCCGACCTCGCTGCTCACGGAAGAGTGCAACGTGCTCATCCCGGCAGCTCTGGGAGGAGTCATAAAAAAGTAATCTTCTTCTTCCTCGTCCCAGCTCACTTCATCCTATCTTCTATCAGATTAATGCTCTGAAGTTCAGTTAGAGTATCCTCCTGGCTGCTATTTTTTTTCTGTATCTGAAAACATTTTTTGTTAATAAATAGTCCTTTCGATTTTCTTCTTCTCCTAGGGACAATGTGCTAAGAAAATAGGCAATTTTTCGACTAATTTAATCCATAAGTAGATAACTAGCATGGCATTGACAGAACTAACAACATACTGGTACTGATCTAAACAAGCACGTACTACGCAAATAGTAGACAAATCTACACATGATGCTAGCACTGCTAATACAGAAATTATCAGGAGAGGGATAAACGCGGTATACCCTCCAGTAGGCCATGCAGAAGACGCCGCCGCGGTGGCAGCAGCAGCAGAAGCGTCCTCGGCGGCCTTCTTGTCGGCCTCGGTCTTCTCGGCGGCAGCGCGTTCGGCGGCGCTGGACATGGTGATGATGGAGACGACGCAGACGTAGAGGAAGTAGTGGATCGGAGGCGAGCAGTCGCGTAGTCGCTTCCCAAAAACCTATTCGTCTATCTCCCGTACAGGAACCAGAGAGACGGAGTTTCGGAGACCTGCTCTCCCGTCGACCGTGTACGCGGCGGACGGGATGGAGTCACCGGCGGTAGCAGCAGCAAAGGAACGACGGTGGGTGGTTCGCGTGGAGCAGATGTGATGTGATCGTGGCGGCTAGGGTTAGGGGATCCAACGTCTCAGATCGTGGCCCTGCTGTCAGAACCTCTCCGTTAGTGACTGGCAAAAATAAGCGCATAGGTGTGAGCTCGGCTTGGCTCATTCCCGCAACCTGCAACCGCGCGGCGCGGCGAGGCGGGCTGCGGAGGAGGAGCGCGCGAGGGCCTCATCTCTTCTCAAGCTCCAATAGCATGTAGAAGAGCCACCCTAATAAACCACTCCAACTTTCCTTCCACTAGCATGGTGAGACTAAACTTCCCACCACCTTGTCATGCCACCTACATGGGCCCTTAGAGATCAAATCTGAAATTTTCATATGGGCTCTAGGCCCATCTCACATTTCAACACAATGTTGATGCCATCAAAGCAAAGTACATCATGTAGGCTGCTAACCACCCAACAGACCCCGAGGCCGAAGAGGCAAGAACACCAACATTTTGCCACAAAACTAAGCTGCATTTGTTGACACATTTCACACATTGACTGACATTAGAGAAATGTACATGTTCGCGCTGCAGATTCTGGCAAAGAAGGGCGTGCTGATCCTACCGGACATCCTGGCCAACTCCGGCGGAGTGATGGTGAGCTACTTCGAGTGGGTGCAGAACATCCAGGGGTTCATGTGGGACGAGCAGAAGGTGAATCGGGAGCTCAAGACTTACATGACCCGCGCCTCAAACATAGTTCTGATTATTTAGGCAGTGAATGGCGCCATATAAAATGGACAGTAATTATGTATAGTATATCTTCGAAAACCAGAATCGGCTCAATTTGGAAGAATGCCTGCTTTATATGAATTTCTTGCCCGCTTTGCTACAAGTGCATTACCATGCCTCAACCATAATCATCCTTGACAAATATGGCAGTCACCTTTAGTATGGAACAGAAGAAGCATGCACAACCTATTTTGTCAATGAGCAAGTTTAGCATATGTTTGTACATTGCTGATCTAGTTAGTAAGCAGAACACTGTTATAGTAAAACTAGCTAGGACATCTGTTTCAGTATTGTTACCCAGCAGGCTTAGGCCTAGATTTATTAGTTGTAAATTTGTTAGCTCCATGTATCGCATTAGTCTCGATGCAAAACATAAGCTGCAATGTATCAACTATTTTCGACATGTCTATATCAGTATTCTCTTATTTCTCTGCAGGAGAGGCTGGCATTTGACAATATGGTTCTATGTGTGCATTGACTGTTGGTGCTGCAGCCTGTAATTTTTGTTGTGGAGTGGACCGAAGTAATCCATCAAGCTATCTGCATTATTCTGTTCCTTTTGCTGGCGAGGTAATAATCTCCCACTCAACTCGTGATGTGAGAGATAGTACTCTAACCATGATATTTACATCATTGCTCATGTGTTCTATATGCTATGGTTTTTCTTCCTTAATTACCCTGCCTCAGCCATAATCATCATCGACTTAAACCAGAACTGTATACTTATGCAGTGTATGGCGATGTATAGAATGGGGAACATGCGTTTGTAAGTAGTCACTTATGGTACTGTTTTAAAAAGAGAAGGGCTGCTACTTAGGCTTGCATGTCATTCTACCAGGCTGCTACTTAGGCTTCCATGTCATTCTACCATCAAGTTTAGGTAATCAATGTGTGAGCCCAATATTCACATCCGGGTTAGCTTTCACATTTAGTTTGAGGGAACAAAGTAGTATTAAAGCCTGATAACAATGAATTACTGAAAGGCATATCAACCATACATTTGGTGGAAGTGCTCTCTCCTAGCTGTGAGATATCTGTAACGCCTGTGTCGCCTTATATTGGTTTTTTTTTCAGTCGACTGAACGTTTCAAAGATTGCACTAGTTGGTTTGCTGAATCTCGAAATGAGATTTGGTTCTGGTAGATGATAGGTTGACTTATATCTGTTTGTGTATCTGTACTTACTTTGCTTTTTTTAGGGCTACACTTGGTTTGCTATAGAAATTTGCTAATTACTCCTGTTAAGAATGTGATCACCTTTTCTCCTTTAATCAAGTATCTTCTTGTGGAGGTGTGGATGAAGGACCCCTCCAACGTGCCAAAGATTAGCACATGGAGCTGTCGGAGCTGGACGACTCAACCTCGCCACCCACAGAAAAGCGCGGAATGGTGCATGGCGTTACCATCCATGTTGGATCGGTGGAGGATCACAACACCACACGTTGTCATAGCTTCACTTTCTGGAATGGTATGGTTGATGGCACCAGCCCCACCTCAAGATGGAGGTCACGGGTTTGCAGGGGGCATACTGGAGATTTTCAGATTTAATTGTTTGAATGTATCTTTATTTCATTTCAGATTGTGTCAAGTCTTGTGTACTCCTCCCTCTGCTCCACCGGTTCACAATTACAAGATGTTTCTAACTTATATTTGTGTCTGCTCCATCTGTTTATAAGATGTTTCTAACTTATATTTGTGTCTGGTCCATCCGTTTATAAGATGTTTCTAATTCATATTTGTGAACCGAGGGGGTACTAAATATGAGCTTCTATCTAAACTTTTGTCCGCGATCTATTTGTGACGACTTCTCTCAAGGCAGGAGCCACTTTTGTGTGCATACTTCTCTTGATTTGTTCTATGTTGTCAAGTTCTTATTCATTTGGTGATCTTCTGTAATATTTGTGTTCGTTGATCATGGCCAAGTAAATCAAATTGAATTTCCTGTTAAGGCCCGATGCTTACAGCGAAACTGAACAAAATATCTAGTGAAATAATCAAATGATAACAAAGCTTTGCACGATCCTCTGCACTTTTTATGCTAATCTGAATAATCTCACTTGAATCTACTAAAAATGCATCTTGTCTACAGCTTCTAACAGCCACCAGTAAAAACTGATAATCTTATCTACAACAATCTCGAGATCCTTTATCTTCTCTTGTTGTGCAACATCCTTCTTATTATGTTCTTGCGCCTTCCCTTCCATCTCTTCTAACGACCCATCCTGAAATTGCACAGTTTTTTAATAAAAAATTGCACCGTGGTATTGATGTAAGCCTATCTGTTTCCTACTGCTGCCTTGTGTATGGATCATTCTGAACATTAAAGATGATACCTGAGATACTCAAAGCAGATGGCACTGCCAGATTATTCTTTTGAACTTTTGGAGTGAGAGTCGAAAGCTGAGTATCTAGAGTTCCCTTCACTGCCTCTGTAGATTAATATCTGCTCATTGTCAAATGACAGAAGAACGCAAGGAACAAGATCACACATATAGAGAACCACATAATTTAGGTCTATATTGGGATCTCTAAA